ACGCCTGCAAAGGCAGAAGAGAAAGGAAAGAGATGCGACTGCTTCTGGGACCCCGGGAGTAACAAGGATTGTTACAGACGTATTGGCGCAGCTAGGGTATGCGACAGAGCCGGTGGTGCAAAGAAGGGTGGTGACAGCTGTCAAAGTGAAAGGAAAGGAGCCAGTGATAGAGGAGGCTGTTCAGGAGGAGCTCTGGGAAGAGGAAGAGCCGGTGCCGCAGCACCTGACAAAGGTCCAGCGCAAAGTGCGTAATTTGGCGCAGGGCGGACAGGGATCAGGAAAAGCGCAAGCACCTCAGACCCAGGCAGCAGCCCCTTTAAATGTGGCGGCTCCATCATCTAGTACGGGCCCCTCGCAAGGTGGGGCGCTCTCCTACGGACAGTGGCCCTGGCCGGTGATCAATGCGATTGTGCCGTGGGGAAGCCCGCCGCCAGTAGCCGGACCGCAAACGAGTATGCCGCCACCCATCTACCCCGCGGCCCAGGCCCAACCTGTAGCCCCGCTACCGTCACCTGATCCCAGTTCACAGGGCAGTGTTGTAGGAGGAGGGAGTCAGGGGCAAGGCAATCAAGACAACGGAGGTAGGGGTGGAGGAAGGGGCCGAGGCAGGAATGGCGGCGGAAGAGGAAGGCAATGGAATGACCAAGGCCAGGGGTACCAGGGCCAAGGGGGCCAAGGCCAGGGATACCAAGGCCAAGGGAGTGAAGGCCATGGGTACCAAGGCCAAGGGAGTCAAGGCCAGGGCAATGGAATGGCCAAGGCCAGGGGTACCAGGGCCAAGAGGGCCAAGGCCAGGGATACCAAGGCCAAGGGAGTGAAGGTCATGGGTACCAAGGCCAAGGGAGTCAAGGCCAGGGGTACCAAGGCCAGGGCTATCAAGGCAAGGGGTATCAAGGCCAGGGGGATCAGGGAAGTCAGGGGTATGGAAGACCCTGTTTTGACTGGAGGACGGCCATCTGTCAACATTGTGACCAGCAAGGCCACACTATAAGATTCTGTAATATAAGACGGGAAGACGAGAGAAGCGGAATGATTTCCTCTACTATGGATGGGAATATCTACGATCAGTTTGTGGAGGCCATCGACAGAAGGCTTGGAGGAGTGAGGGCTGAAGCCCAGCGAAGAGCGGCAGCTGGGCCGCAACCGCCTGCCATGTTCAGGCTATGGCAGGAAAAGGTGGAACCACCGATTGGGGAGGAGGAAGTACGGAGTGATGAGGAAGTGGTTCAAAGGCTACTAGGAAGGAGTAAGAAGAAAAATCCCTTAATCATTGAGGCAGAAGACGAAAATGAGAAGGAAAGAACGGAGCCTCCGTCCGTCTTATATGGGAGGTTGGAGGACCTGCTGGATAAGATAGGGAGATACCAACGGAAGCTGGTGGGCCTCTGTGAGGAAGTGAAGAGGTGGAAATCTAGCATCCCCCAGGTGTTCCTCTACGACTCCGGTCTGGAATCAGCACCTGGGCGACCCGGAGTAAATATGGTGGAGTCATGCCCACAATCAGGAATGAGGGGGAGACCCCTCACTACGCAGGCACGGCTGGCGCAGGCAGCGCGAAAGAGGAATCAAGCCAGAGTCAGCGCCAGCCAAGAACCTCCGAGGAGGGGGGCGGAGCCAGGAAAGAGAAAGGAGGCCGTGGAAGTAGAAGATGATGATAATGACGATGAAGAGGAAGAGCACGAGAGGCTGCGTAGGGAGGAGGATCCAAAAGCAGAGAAGCGGGCGAGGAAAAAGGGAACTAGGGGAGAGGTCGAGCCGGTCGTGCGCGATGGACCGCCCAAAAGGAAGAAGTATGCGGTTTGGTTGGAACAGGGATTTGACGTAGAGAAAGTGATCGACCGGCTGCTAGAAGGGCATAACGTTCTCATGACCCTGAAGGAAATCCTAGCGTCAGCCCCGCGACTCCGCAATGAATTGAAATGGAGGTTGTCGCGACGCTTGGTGCCAAATGTCCATCTGGGTACGATC